GTCAGAGGCCATCGGTTGCTATTATTATTAGTGACTGAACAAACTTCTTATCAGTTGATGTTGCGAGGGAATGCTGCTGATGCCCCTCTTCATTAAGATACATTTTAATTTATTTTTTTTTCTTATCTTCTGTATTTGAATGCATTTTTTTTTTTGAACCATAAAATGAAGGGGTTTACAGCATGCTTTATTATGTCAACAGATAAGAAATTTTTCCTTTTTTTGCAAAAAAGACAATCTTTTAATATCGAAGAATTACACTGGCATTTTGGGTGATTTAGGGAGGAAGGGGGGGAGGGGACGATTTTGATAAAGCTTGTTATCTTTTTGTGCACTTTTTTTTTTCAGCTGGCACAATGGAAGCTTTGTTATGCCCACTTGAGCGGACACAAGTCCTTCTACAAATACCGGAATATAATCATCGGTACCAGAATACGGCCCATGCATTCGGCGAGCTTGCCAAGGTTGTTTCTTTGATTTTTGGTGAATTTTTTGAGCAGTAAAGAGGAATTAATTGCTTTTGCAGCCGAGTTTGTGGCCTCCTCCACACCTGCATTCTTTCTTGTCCAGCTTCCTAGGACTCGTATTAGTAATTTTACGTGCTCTTTTTTAAATTATTTCTTGCTTTAAAAAATTTTTCTGACCCATTTTTGCTCTAAAATTTTCTTCTCGTTTTTTTTAATTAGCTTGCTTCCCTCAGAGCTTTTGTTTTTTGCAAAGAAAGTCCTTTTTCGTCAATAACTGGACATGAAGTGGGCCTTTTCAGGCCTCTCGCATATAAGCAGTATTTTCTGGATCAGAAATTAAGGAGGAGATTGATTTTCGTCGTCTTCCTACTTTATTTGGTTCCAAAATTTTTAGGATTTTTAAAACTTGGTGCCTCAATTTTGCCATGATCATGTAGCGTATTAATATGAAGCTATAATGTTACTTTGATGAGCCTATGCAACGAAACGTAGACCCAAGCCATGCTTTTTTAGCTTGAATTCAAGTTTTTTGCCGATGTCTTGAACGCTTAGCACACCATCTTTTTGTTGCTTCTCCCTCTTTTTCTAAGGAACGCTTTTTTTTTTTCTAAATTTTTCAAAAGACAGTTATGTTCAGAGTGCATTTCTCAGCTACTAATTGTAATCCTATCATGGACGGATCCAGGACCGACTCCTGGGGAAGGTGAAAAGTGGGGGGGAGGTAGGGGCAGAGTAGGGTTCCCGGGGAAGAGAAAGGATAGGAAGCCACGAGGGGGTGGAGGGAGATGAA